ATGAGGCTATCTATTGTCTTTTTCCTTCTCTGTTAGCTCCAGTAAGAGGGATTCTCAAAAATACCTTATGGAGCCTGAGCCCATTTCTTACTGGGATCATCATTAACACTAACACTAATGGGGTCTAACACAAAAGCCATATAGACTTGGAGTTAAACTGCCCTGAACACTAAAACTCTTCCTACAATTCTGGTAATATGACAGTGCTCATTGCGGTAGAAATATATTTTGTTATCCTTTGAGAAGCCAGTTATAAAATTTCTCACAAATTTACAAACTTTCATTGTAATTCCAATGCTTGCCTGTTCTCAGAAGCATGTGAATTAAATATCAAAAGGTTATTTCTTTGAGGTCCCCTTTCAAAAGAATTGAATTTAAAAAATATATTTTGGAGAGATTAAATGAGCTATAAAGATTTACATAAAAATACTTTAATAGCCTTTTACCAAAGCATTTCAGTGCAGCCCTATGCCTTCAAAACTACTGCAAGAAATACAATGTTTTGTCATGTTACTGGACACAGACTATATCATGTGATCCATGACACATGGATGGGAGTAGAGTGCATGTCCCATGACTTGGTATTAACAAGGCACCCTTTGACACTGTCTCCTGTGATACTGCTGCAGCCAAATATTCAAATGTGGACTAATATGGGGGTAAAAAGAAACTGGCTGGAACGCTGACTTCATAACATTGCAATTTTAAGCACCAAGTTCAGCTGGATGAATCTCTGGAATTGACAGTAGGGCAAACATCCATTTGAGTGGGTCAGAGCTCACTCTTAAAATGTTTATGGGCAACACCAAAGACAGACTTAGAGGTGGACAACAGTATGTGAGACAACAGACTCAGTCTGCAACACAGAATCATAAATTTCTAGAATGGTTTGGGTTGGCAGAGAGCTTCAAAGATCATCTGCTTTAAATCCCCAACATGGTCAAGGATGTCTTTCACTAGATCAGGTAGTTCAAAAGTCCCATCCAACCTGGCCTTGAACACTTCCATGGATGGGGCATGCACAGTTTCCCTAGGCAACCTGTCCCAAAGAAATCCGTCACTTCTCTGGGAAATTTCTATAGACAACCAGCATCTCAACACTCTCATCATCAAAAATTTCTTTTTATCCAAACTAAATCTATCCTCTTTCAGTTTAAAACCACTGCTCTTTGCCCTGCCTCTACAGGCCTTGCTAACAAGGCTTTCTCTATAGTTCTTACAAGACCCTTTTACATATTGAAAGGTTACAATAATCTGCAGTCTTCTCCAAGCTGAACAACTTTCAACTCTCTCAGGTCTACTTCATAGGAAATATAGATGATTCTAACTTTATGTACAAATTCACCATGAGTGTAGGCAAGCACTGTATCTAGATGTCTGGCAGAGATACACCTCTGGAGATACTAAAAACTCAGATGTAAAAGTCCCAGAGCAACTTGATATAATCCGTTTCCCTGAGTGGAAAAACAATTAAATATGTAACATGTCTAAAACCTGAATCTTCCACATACAACAGTGCAACTGGAAAATGAATTCTCTTGTCCTCCTCTGAATGGTTCAAATATCTCAAATATATTTCCTGTCTTTTAACAGAATGTAAAAGAGAAAACATTTAAAATTTTCAGAAAACATTTTTTTTAATTTGGTCTAGGTCATTTGGTTATGACCTTTAAAAAAATTGTTTCACTAGGATTAGCTTATTTTTCAAAATGTCATTTGTTGGTGAAAAAAAGTGAGGTCTTTCATTTTGAAAAGGTCAAAAAGCTTTGACCTTTTCAAAACTCTTTTAAGAAAAAAAACTGTCAAAAAAAGTTTGTTTTGTGAATAGCTGAAAGTAGTTGTTACAACAAAACAAGTACAGACCCACTGCATATGTTAAAAACTTTTTAGCAAGGTTTTTAGTAAAGACACACTAAAGACGCTGACTAAAATATTTTGACTCCCACCTTTCTTCTGCCTGCTTAAAGCAAAATCTCATTTACCTTCATGAATAGCAATAATCTACCAGGACACTACAATTACATCTCAGCAACCAACACAGTTTTACTTCTATCCATAATTGGAAATAACAATTAGTAATAAAAATGCATAAAACTATAAATATTTAAATACTCTTAATATTGTGTATTAGGTATAAAGAAAAGAAACAAAAAAGTTTCTTGCTCCACAACAGTGAGCATTCCTGTCTGACTTACAATGTTTTTCTCAGCCTGTCAGAACTGCAGCACCTCTGGGCATGACATTTCTCTTGGATGAATGTCTCCTCCACAGTTTGTTAGACATTGCATACTGATGGATTGTTTCCCCAAAGGTGACATCATTACAAGAGGTGTTATCTTCTTCATGTTGTCAGAAACACTGTCCAGCTTTTATTTTAAGCAATCTTCTCTTATCTTTCATTTTATTTTTCCCCTTCATTTCACAGAGTATTTCTTTTAAGAATATTTTGGACATTTATTGACCCCTTCTGCTACTTATACAATATTTAATGTATCTTCTCATTCTGAAAACACAGGAACAAATTCTCCAAATTTTAACTAATTAATTATTCTTTTAAATTTTTTAAGGTAATTTTGCTCTTTCCCCAAAAATACGGTATAGCAACTTACTAGTTCATGCATCACACTAATTAACTACTTTGATTGTAGTAGACTCCAAACTACTGAAACATTCTAAACACACATATTCTGTCCCAGGTTGCTAATTTAATTTCTGAGTTACAGATTCATAAGGAAATAAAAGTAATCAATATTTAAGTAATTTCATTCCAGTTTGAAAACTGCATCTATGAAGATGAACTTTTATTCATTTCTACACTTTCCAATTCATTCTGAAGTCACTGAACTATGCATAGGTCCATAACACTGTTTTGGACTGCAATATCAGGATTTAAAATGGTAAAGGATTGTCATATAAGAAATGAATTCTCGAGAACTTCTTTGAAAAAACTGATAAGGTTTTAGCAACATTACCTCAAAAACTATCAAACTGCATGAATCACTCATAAGAGGACAGACAGGGGCATTCACCTGGCTCACTGCAGACTGTATAAAGAGAAATTAAGAATTTTAATTCCCTTCACCCTCATATAGCAGAAAAGAAGTGCCTGTAGGACAGCAATACCTGAAGAGCATATGATGCAAACACCATGTATTTGCTTAGCAAGCAAAGGCGATACAATGGATCAGACATATCCATAACAGACAAGTACAGTCTAAATTTTCCAGAATAATAGGATCAGATACGATGGATCAGATATATCCATAACTGAACAATACAAGCTTAAATTGTCCAGAATAATAGAATCAGAATGGGGTAAATCTGGCAAAAATGTCAAATGTCAAAACTGTAAAGGGTTGTCACACTCATTTCTCTACCTTGCTGCCAATATCTCATGGTTTTGATTTACAGCTGTTCAGCAGTATCCCTCACCTGAGCAGCAGCTGTCAATTCTGTCACACTACCATATGTAATTATAGTGGCATAGTGACTGCCAGACAAACAATGGGCCTTTGTGTCTGCAAGCTGGGACAAGGAAACATAAGAAGAGCTACAGGTGGATGCAGGGCTGGAATGTAAGGGTCCTTCAGAGCATCTCCTGGGGAAGATTTTCTCCCTAGGGTACCCTAGCCTCTCCCTCCAGCAGCACTGGTGTTCCTGACCTTGTCACCCAGAAGAGCCATCATAGCAGCACAGAGAAAGGGTAGATATTCACAAGTCTGATTGTGTAATAATTTTGAGAGTATTATTCCTAGCAGAGTTGTACTCTGTTACTTGGGTACCAAACCCACTTGATTATAGCTGGAAAATAATCCCTGTTTGGGGTATTTCAATGTGAATGTTCTCAGTTAGGCTAATGATAAATTCTTGTCTCCACGTACATGTGATGTATTTCCTTCTGCCTAAGAAAAGATTTTGAGTTTATAAATAGTTAAATAATTGAAGCAAATTTTTCTCTCTCTTTTTTTTTAATTTAAAAACATATGTTCTGAATGATGTAGCTGTGCCCCAAATCACTTACCGAATGGTTTTCTGAGGAAAAGAAGCAAAAATAAACAAACAAAACCATCAAATGTACCAAGTGTGAATTTTGCAGATGTATTACAGCCTTTTTAAAGCCTCTCCCTTTGTATGAGATTTTTAACAGTATTAGCTGTAATATTAACTGCCATGGAAACTGCGAGTGTTGCTGCAGTGACATCAGCAGTGGTCAAAATGGTGCTTCAGACAGAGAAATGCAAACACAAGCAGTATTCTGCTGCTTGGGGTTTTTTTCTGTTTCGTTTTTCTTGCAGAAATATGCCACATAGCTCTGAGATGTTTCAGACTGGAAGAAATCAGCTACTAGCCACTGGCCACCAGCTGTCAGGGACTTGTCATGCTGTTACCACAGCTACTGCTAAAACCACTTGCAGATCAGTCAGTGGGGGACAGCAGCAGCATGCTCAGACCAAAACTTAGCACAGCACCTCTTTTTTATTATAATATCTCAGAGTGTCCTGGCCCCACCTGGAGTGCTGCGTCCAGATTCTCAGCACAAGAAAAATGCGAGTCTGTTGGAGCAGGTCCAAAGGAGGGTCACAAAGAATATTCAAAGAATGGAGCAACTATCCTACAGAGGCTGAGAAAGCTGAGGTTTTTCAGTCTGGAGTAGAGAAAGCTTTTATTATGGCTTTCCTGTACCTTAAGAGGACTTCTAAAAAGGAGGGAGAGCAACTTTTTACATGGGCAGATGGTGACAGGACAAGGGGCAATGGTTCTAAACTGAAGGTTTAGATTAGAATTTAGGAAGAAATTGCTTACTTGGAGGGTGGTGAGACTTTGGAACAGAGAGCTTGTGGATGCTCCATCCCTGGAACAGTTCAAGGCCAGGTTGGATAAGGCTTTGATCAACTCAATCTAGTGAGAGGCATCCCTGCCCATAGCAGGAATCTTGGAACTAGATAATATTTAAGGTCACTTCCAACCCTAAATTTATTGCTTCTATCCTAGAAGTAACAGCAGCAAAAGGAAAAAGATCACTTCATGGCTCACTTCAACTACACAAACAGAAATTAACATCAATGATTGCAGCTCCTCTGTTCAAGGTAAATAATGCAAACTTTGCCTTAATCTAGAGATATGGAAACAGGAACTAAGAATTGTAAGATGGTGAGAAGAATTTCCACACTTCTTTTATTTGTATGTGTGTATGTGTGGGTGTGTTTTATGCCATAATTTCACTAGATAGTTAGAAGTAAAAACTCAATTTAAAAAAAAAAAAGAGATGCATCAAAAATTTCAACCTGCTTATCATGACTGAGACCAAGAATAACACTTGTCATTTGCCCTCTTTTTTTCCAAAAAAATAACTGAAGTGCAACTTCCAGCTGGGGTTTTAACGCTATGCAGGAGGCCTGATTTGCAACAGCTGCTCTCTCCTCCCAGTCCTCACAGCAGAAATGGTCATTCTATAACCAGTGAGCCATAACTGCACAAATCACGCATGAAGGTTGCTCTTGCCATAGTGCTGGCAGGAGGCAGGATGCCACAGGAGCCTGGTTAACATTTCTCAGGAACATTCTTAACCTGGTGCTACCCCAGAGTCCCTGTCTGCACCAGAAGAGGAAGCAAAGACATGAGAGGTTTCCAAATCCAGTGAACAACCAAGGATAGAACAGAAAGCTTAAATGTGAGGTCTAGGATTTATTGCTCTGGAGTTTTAGTAAAGGCAGATGTAAGTAGGGATCTCACTGGATCGTCATTTCCTCCAAGTTACGGCCTCAATGCAGCCCATAGAAGTTACACTGTGGTTTCTGAAAAAACAACCTAACTGAATTATCAGTATTGTATTTCTCTCAGGAAAGGGCAGCTTTAAAAAAAAAGTAACATCTGATTTTCTTGGTAAGCAATAGGGGAAAAATGCAATTTACAAATATATAGGAATAAAATTTACTTCTGGGACAAGCAAAATTAAATTGAAATATTTTCCAAATGTTACTTTTGTCACTAATTCCATCTGTTCTACAAATTAAATCCTGAGCTTGGAATACCATAAAAAACTAAAAAGGGTGCAAGCCATCAGAAGCTAATTAAAAGAGGTACTTTTTAAGCACATCTTTAACAAATACTCTGTATTTATGAGGTTTCTATAAGCCAAAACAACTTAACATGAGATGCTCATGACATGGATCAGACCCCAGTAAGTTTATGAATCAGCAAAACAAAAATATATGGAAGTCATGTATCAAACAAATTAATATAATCTAACACATACTGTTTTCTTTCTGTTAATTTGGTAGAATAAAACTAATATCTTTTTTTTTTTTCAGATTTGCCACAATCTGCTCTTATATAAAGATTCAATAGCTGGTTTAGTGTAGCTGGTTTTGAAAGCACAATATATCCTAATGACTGACAGGATGACAGAAGAGGTTTGACCTGACTACCACTTTCATAATGAAGTTTCTCTACACAGAGAAAAATGTAATTGAAGAGTTGTATTACTTCTTTTGAAAGGAATCTTCCATACTTTGAAACAGTGACCCCAGCAGACATTTTTTTCCCAAGACTACACACCGACAAGGACAAAAAGGAAAGAAGCTATTTGAAAGAAATTATTTTCATGTTGTAAAATGGCTGTTTTGTCAGAACACTGAACCAGGGATGTTTCATGAAGCTAAAGAAAAAGGATTAATTTTTCAAAGTAAAAAGACTCTCTATACTAAAAAGACAACACAAAACGATTCTTACTTTGAGAGGACTATAAACATTACTTTGTTTGCTGGCTGAATTCTGACTGTTATTGTAATATACACTAAAATACATTTTGTAAGCAACATTTTATCTTTACAAGTCAAAATGTCTACATCCCATTTCAAAATTCATTATAATTAGTAGGTAAATTCTTAATAACAGAATTATAATTAGTTGCAGTCAATGGCTGCTTATTAAACTGTAAAACTGATGAAAAACTGAATAGATACATCTTATTTCTTCAGTTATACAAATGTACTAAAAATCAGTGCATTTTTTGGTATATGCAAGTAATTAATCATTGTACATAATTAAAATTAATGCAAAAATACTACTAGATGCAATCTGGTTAAAATATGTTGAACCAAACTGTATTGGGAAATTGTGTGCTAAGTTACCAATTCCCTTATTTTCTTCCAGCATTTCTTTAATTACCCTTACTGAGATTAGGTCTACCTAGTTCAAGGATCATCTTTATAATATCATAAGATTTGAGCTATTACTTTGCTGAAATATAATGGGAGGAATAAACCACACACACAAAAATATGTTATTGCATGAGTAACATTGTGAACACTAAGAACATCTTCTCTTTAAAAATCACATTCTACATGGCTATAACAGATACCATGTAGAAAGAAACAAAAAGCCTTAAAATTGAACTGTTCAGGTAATTGCTGAAAATCATATGTCCCCAAAAAGAAACAAAAAGGGTTTTGCAAAATGATATTTTTGGAAACCCTTGTTGTAATTTTGTTCTATGAGTAGTAATCTAAGATCCATCAAATGATTTTTGCTTTAAGGTCATCTCCTAAAATATTTGCTAGCTTCCTACACAGAAAAACTTCCACTAAATTTAATGGAATTTTGCCTGGGTAAAGACCCTTAAGATTCCTGCATTAGTGTATTATGCCCCATTTGATAAGTGAGAAAGTAATGACACAGAAAATGGTAATAATTTTGTTTGGTCTACTCAGTCCTAAATGGCTGAAAATATCTTCCATTTTACATTATATTTATCATAAAACCTGTGTTTTTAGAACTATATTTTGATTAACATTAAAAAGGAAAATAAAGCTAAACAAGGTGACAACTTCATTTTGATTTTGATAGTCTTCAACTACAATGAGAAAAACCTGGGTCCTCCAGATAAAACTTTGCCATATCAAAGTTCCCCTTGTTTAAAGAAGCAGTAGGAAAATACCAGCTCAACCAAAACACGAAACATCAATGACCTTGGCACCACCATGACCATCATCCAGGTGGCAGAATGATGCAGCACAGCTCTCATGACAAAGAAACTATGTTGTTGCTATCAAGGTTTATTACAGAGGAAAATTGACGCTGAACTTTTCTTCTGTAACAATCTTCATAAAGATTTCTTTATATATATCTTTATATATATATATATATAAATTGTCTAAGCATTTATTGTTGCAGCTTTTCAGCAAGCATCCAATTTAGTGGTCAGGATAAAAAAGTGAAAAGAGTATTCAATATGTCTTTGCATAGGATTTTTGTGACAGATCTATTAACTCTCATTCTACTGCCTTCAGCAGAAAACTGCTTTCCTGTGGTCATTTTGTAAACTTTTTTCTATGAGTAAATCAAAGTGGTGCTAAGAAAATGACTGAAGAAGTTTTAATTACCTACTGCTGATGCACAATACATTAAAAAAGAGGATGTTCAGAACAATTCTGCACACTTGGGATGCAAGAGAGGAGGGGATTTTGTCCAAAGTCTATAGTAAAAAGATTTGTATTGTACTGATTGAAATAGAAAAATGGAATATAAAATGGGTTTAGAAACATTATAGGATATTTTTTCTTCTCTAGGTTTTATACAGATTTTATTATATAAAGAGTAAAAGCAGATATTGAAAAATACTGGCATTTACACTACTACTTATACAATACAATAATTTCATTATCGATATTTAAACCTAAAGTAATGAAATTCTGGCTCATTCAGGTGACTGAAAGGTCCTCTCAGATTGCAGATCTTCTGTAACACTACTGAAGTTTTTTTCTTGAACCAGCAGATCTTTAATTCCTTTATTTAAAATGCAACAGCTTCATCAAAAGGGGTGCTGAACACACAGCTCAGCCCCATCTGAGACACATCTATACCTGACCATTAGGTCATTCTCCTCAAAAAACAGGATCATTTTTTTTAATTCCTTTGACACTGGAACAAGCTAAACATTACACTACTGAAGAAAAATGGGAAGTCATGAGGTTAGCTCCCAGAAAGAAAGTATTAAGACCATTTATTTATGTATTTGTGTATTTAATATATTGAAGAAACACTTAAGTCAGGAAACTACTCAGGACTGAAATCCCCAGAGCATGGTAATGCTTCCCAGTAGTGCTGAGTAAGGTGCTTAAATCTCCAAGAGATATCTAATTTAAGATGTATTTCTGTGTTCAGCATTTCCTACTGGCTAACTCAGCCTCCCTGCTCAGCACTGACGCTTTTTCTAAACCCTTTTCTGAGACACCAAACTCTGATACATTCTACAGAAATTATCTGTATTATAGTAAAAGTATATAGTAGATTTAGATATCAGCAGGTTACAAGTTAGGTGCTACAGTGCTGCACAGCTGTGTCTCATGCCTTTGTGATTCCACGATCCTACAAAACTCCTTAAATTTTGATTTTCCATCTGATAAAAACTTGTTCTACTATATCAAGAGATCTATATCAATTTAGATGACTGAAAGGCTAGTCCTGATCATGCATCAAAAGTATGAGCTTGTAGCACTCATAATATGCACTCAATATCAATCCATATATGAAAGAGAAGGCAAAGTGATTATTGCCTGAAAACTGACATAAGAACCCTAATTTCTATTCAGACAACCTTCAACAGGGGGCAAAATGAACACCAACTTGATGATATGTCTGCTTTCTAGATTACAATTTGTATACAGGGCATAACCAAGACCTGACGAGTGATTTGTACAGCTTTCATCTTAGCCCAAAGGAAAGAGGCATTCTGTGAGAACAGCTCAGTTGGTAGCTGTCCTGTTTCAGAATGACAAGTGATTTGATTGTGATACACAGTGTAAGTGCTTTGTTCTCATTAAAAATGAACAAGCTGTGGGAGACTTTTACCACTTACTCCACAGGTACCCACTGTGAAAAGCTAAGGTATAATGAATATGTAATTTGGATATGTCTCTTATGAAAAAATCCAAAGAATCCAAAGTAAAACTTGGGAAGAGCTCCTAGAGTTAGATATAATTTTGTCTGTTCTACCTACAATTTTAAATGAGTTGATTTGCTCTCCCTGAGCTGTAACATCCTTTCTTCCAAATACATATGGGATTGCCATGTCATACCATGGTATGCAGTTCTGTAATAACATAGACAAAGTATCTGCTACATGTTATAGCTGGAATCCTATCTCTGCCACAAAAAAATTACAAAATCTATGCACACATCATGTAATGTACTTCTGTGGAACATTTTTCTTTTATCCTTGGCTATCTTATCTGAAGTCTGCTTGTAGGGATGATGCCTGATATTCTAATCATCTGGGCAGGTCTTACAAATACACTACTTTAGGGAAAACAGTAGCACTGACACAGATTTGCCTTTTTTTTTTTTTTTTCCTCAGTCTGGAATACTAACACTCAAATGTGCAACCAAAATAAATTAAAAAATGCCATCACACTTCAACTAAAATGCAAAAATTGACAACATTTATTGCTTATAAAATTACCTGTTTGAAATCTTGTGATCATGGAATATCCCAGCTTCAGCATTATTTATACAATAGTTCCAGTATTAAAAATGGTCATAAATTAAACTTTTAATCTATGAAATAATAAAGTATTTATTATACTTATAACTTATACTTCATATACTTATATGAAATTACAAGTATGATAAACATTAAACCACTTCACAATGGTTTTTAGGTGTCCATCTGAGAGGTCTGCACTTGTATATTTGAAAACTAAGGCATCTGAAGTACTACAGAGTAATAATGGACAGCAAGTAACATTTTGTAGGTTTTTTTTTTTAAACAATCCTATTTTTGTAAGTATCATATGTAGAACATATAGAATGTGAGAAGTGTCATAGTTGTCAGGAGCCTCTGAGTTACATATGGCTCCCTTGGTCATTAGTTCTGTACCCACTTCAATTTTACACACCCATCAAACCTGCCTATCTGAAGGAATGCACACAGTTATCTACAACCTTGTGTCAAATCTGAAGCACAGCAGAAGGCATGAGCATATTTAGAGCAAGAGGCAACATGCCATAATGCTATCACATTTTTCCAGGATCAACAACATTAATTTTCACGTCTCAAAAGGTCAGAAAAATAATTCTTCTTTTATTTTCAATCACTGAACAATATGGACAGTGCTGAAATAGAGTCAATTAAAATATTTTGATACTCTCTGCTACACTTGAAATTAAACAGTTTTAAAAGAAAGTGAAAGTTATTAAACCAGCCAGATTGTCTCCTTCATGGAGCATAAAGCAAAAGTCAAAAACAGAGCAAATCAGAGACAGAACTAATCAGACACACTAAGCAAAAATTAGTTTTATTCTACATTCAGTGAATATATCTTTATTTGGAAAGTTAATAGACTCTGTCTTCAATAGTTCACTGCATTTAACTGTTTTTAAACACCCCAAAAGTACCTACACTCAACAAAGCAGAAAGGTACTGGAAAACCCATGGATTTGAGCAAAGGAGTCACTAAAAAAATT